CAAAGAGGACGACCAGCCCCGGTTTTGACGTTTGAGGCGTACTGGAAAGCCGACAGGGAAGACAGGGGATTGAGATACACATTGGAAGACCTAGGCATTGGGGATGATGACCCTTGGAAGTAACACAGCAGTGGTTGAGCACGTGCCCCGCCAAACTGGTTGCTTTTTGCAGCGAAAGCGGGTCGGGTCATCCAAAGTTGGCTCAACTTCCTGCCTCAACCCCGTAAGCCATCGAGGTATCGAGGTTGAGTCGAATGGAGCTACGCGACTACAAGGTTCAGCTGTATCTCTCTGGTGAGCCGAATCGGAAAAGCGAGCACATGTCCGAGCCAGCTGTGCCGCATGTCTTCATGCATCACAATCATAATAACAAGCACAATCATGGCAACGATGGTAGCTATCAAAATTGTCATTGCACGGATCAAAAAGGGTATTTCATGGAAATCATGAGTCAGCAGCGCTGCTACTCAAGACCATCCATTTGTGGCTGTGGCTATGTGTTATTCATGTATTTATTTGCAGAATATGTCTATTTACTTCAAACATGACACCTTTGTTCTTGGGTCCATCTGTCGGCTGTCCACAAAGCTCCTGGTAAAAGGTCATGACCTTCGCTGCCCGAACCATTTAGCCATCTCAAACCTGAAAGCCGAACCCTTCGGCCATGAGCGCAGGTCCTCTGGCTCCGGAAGGCCTGAGAGAGGCAGCTGCAGGCGTGCGACAGTGGCCGCCTGCTTTGATGTTCTGAGAGATGCAAAAGCGGATGAACATCATAATTGAATTGCAAATCCACTCGTATTTAACAGCTACTCAAGCTGGATGGTTGTGGGGGTCACATTGGTGGTTCTTGGAATCTGGAACAACACATCGGTGCAGTCAGCCGACATTGCCAAACGAGAGACAGAGGATGGCCGCTTTCTGTGAATAAAAATTGTGTGGCATGCGATTGTTTTGCTAACCTGAACAATTGGACGTATCAGCATCTGCCTTCTGAGAGTGTGCGAGTTGTTGCGTGTGCTTTCATGGGCACTCTAGCAAAGTGTGTATGTGATAGCTAGCAAGCCTACCAAGCAATGCAGTGCACGTTTAGTTGGCATTGCCCATACTTTGACGCCTAGCAAGTGCACCTCGTTTGCTACTAACCTGGGCCTTCACCCCATGCCTCCCCAAAAAACACGCAGACACATATACGTCTATCTATACATAGACACATACAACAGGAGCCTGCTTCCCGGACAAGACAGGAGGAGCTCCCTCCGGGGTTGCTTCTGCTTGCTGCAAGAAGCGCGCCCAGCGTAGAAAAAGAATTGGACACGGAGAAAAGCAAAGCAATCGCAGAGACGGTGTGGGTTTGAGAAGCCCTTATCCCTGTATGTCCCAAGGTTGCCAAGGTCTACACAAGCACTGTGGCAACCTAAAGCACGTCGACTTCGTGATCGAATCCTTCACTTGGTTCCTTCGATCGGAGAGGCGCCCGGGGGAGACCCCACCTCCCACCTGCCCCGCGCCTTTGGCTAACTTGCCCGGCAGGGCCTGGGCTCGAGTCTCCAAAGCAAGGAAAAAGGGGGAAGGGTGACGAGGTGACGCCAAGCCTTGGCCTTACTCTAAGGCTCGATTTCCAGTCGTCCCTCGATTTCAGGCGACGCATGGCGACGCATCCAAGGAGAGTCAGCATCGGGAGAGCGGGTACTGACATACTGGCATTTGCAAAGACGCCTCGTCCCTTGACATGTGCCGGTCTGCACCCAACGGAAGTCACTCCTGAACTTGCCCCTTTGCCTTGCGCGAAAGGGAGTCCTGTGGCTGTGCGAGAAAGTCAAGGCTGAGATGCTGAACGCCACTGGGCACCTGGCCGCAGATGGAGAATCACTTGCCGACAGGATCTCGGCCCCGTCCGAGTCTTCCTGCACGGGGCGATCTGCTGGCAATACTGGCATGCAAATCTGAAATTCCGCCTGCACTGGACAACAGGTGTCTTTTCAAGCTGTCGTCCGGCACGATGTCTTCGAGCAGCGTCGAGACGTAGTCAGCAACACTAAACAAGTCCGAGGAGCCAAAATGGAAATAACATATTTGCCTCACGCGGCAACTGATCACCATCCTGTCACTCGGAGTTCATGTTCATCAGTGTTCAAAAGAGTTCTTGATCGGGAAGCATAAGGAACTCTTGAGACGTATAAGCCCAGTGACCTATCTATCACTCTACAAACAAGTTCAGCTGGCTTATTATTGTGACCGAAAGAAGCTCATATTCGTTGCCAAACCACAATTAACTTCAAATGAACTGGCAAATAATTCGCTATGCCCTGTGCGATCTTGTCACGCACATATACGCCACACGCAGCAACTGGTCTGGAGATTGGCGAAAGCATGGGCAACGAAACAAGGAGCACAAACCTTCTTACCTGGACAAGGCTCATGGGCCGCCTCAACATGCCGAACACATCTTTTGCAAGCCTGACTGCAAACAATCCAAAGACCAACGTGTTTCTATATCAAGCCAGTAGATACATGTTGGTCAACATTCGCACATTCTACTGTTTAGTGTCTCGTGCCTTTGCAGTGCTGCCAAAATAGGTCACCTTAAAGCTGCTCATGCAGCAAACCTTCTTGCTCCTTTGTCCGCCCATAAAGTAGAGGGTGCACTTGTTCCATGTGCATCCGCAGGCACACCCACATTATGAAACCGCAAGTCAACGCATGGCTGTAATGTCCCAAAAGGGCTCGCAATGTCTGACAAATTCACACGCAAGTCCTCGACTTGTTGCAAAAGCTGCGCATGCCACTCTACTCTGTGCTACAGACCTTATCTTTTGCTGGCCTGTAGCATCGCTCACATCTGTCGGGGGATGTCTGAAGCAAACACCGGGCCTCGGTGCTGATGACGAGGCCTGCCCACAGTGCATGCACAAATGCCTACAAAGACATGAAGGTCGCAACCGCGGCCTCCTTGAGGCCCAAAGGAAACTACTAGAGTAAGGAAGGACATGATGTCAGGCCAAGGCCAATGATGTGGCAGTCAAGATGAATGGAGGTTGCCGAAGCTTCCTGGACAGGATAAAAGCAGATGCTATGCTGTTTTTGTGGAAGATTGGGCATCACGGGAAAAGTAAAAACAAATAACAACAATTCGTCTTCACCTAACAGCAAGAATTCTATGCCTTGCCACCTCCACCCATCCGCGTGCAGTTGCGCCAGCATTTTATCAAAGTAGCATGCAAGCAAGCAGCAGGGGCCAACTTTTCCAAAGGCACGCTGATGTTTGGACATGCGCTGGTCGTTGGCACAACAGAAGGGGCTAGCCACTGGCGATTTCAACCAGCACTGTCGGAAATCCAAATTCCGAACTCTTGTTCATCGAGGAGCCACCCTGCCTTCACTAGTGCGTATCAACTCGTCTGTCATCGCCCACTGAGCTACTGCAACACACACACTCAGCGCCCCACTCACTCTCGCAGAGTCCGGTGAGAACATTCTGTCGCACTCCCGCCTGGTCGCTTTGGTGGCTCCGAGACCAAGAGGTCCTCCGGCCGCAAAAGCTGGACACGGCAGCAATGGACCGTGACTGGCAAAATCAAGATGATCAACCTCCCTTTGCCTGTGTTCCCCGTCGGCCGAATTCAAACTGCTTGAGCCAAAAGAGTCCCATACGCCCTACCGCAATGAGCAGCTCCCAAACCATTGTCTGAAGAAAGCAAGGTCGCCTCCCCAAACAGAGGTGGCGCTAAAGAGAAGTGGAACCCGTTTCATCGGTCCGACCTCTCCTTTGCCGTCTCCGTGAGAGAGAAGTTCAGGCTGTCGCCGCCCTGTGCGCCTGGCGAAGCAAGGGAGACTGGCCGAATCCATTGGAGCCATTGGCCTCAAGAGCGTGTGGTACCGACTCGGGTGCCTGCCTCTGTTGCCTAGATCGTCCACAACGCCCTGCACTCCCAAAAGCGTAGAGGATTGCAACAAACTTAGGCAAGACACGGGAAGAGGCTCTCATCAGATCGATAGTCACTAGTACCAGAAATTTGGTGCCCCTGTCATTCTCTGTACACTTGCAGTGTATGGTAACAATGGCCTCCCATCAACCAGCCCCCGTCCACCCTCAATACTGCCCCTGTTTTGAGGTTCAAACGAAGACAGACCCGCCCACCGCCAAAACAACGGCGACTGGTTTCAACAGGGCCTCGGAAACTGGGGCCACAAATGATCACTGTGCTGATATAAGCAGCCTTCAAACCACAATGGTTGTTTTGTTCTTCATTTGGGTGTGGCTCAAAATTAAACAGGAGGGGATACGCAGGTTTTGGTCCATGTTTCCACTTACCAGGGTTCCATTTTTGGAATTCCGGTTTTTTGAGCCACAGCCATCTTGTAAGTAAAAAAACAATTTCAGGACAGTGGGCGTTGTGCTCTCCGAGCTTGCCCCCCCCCCCCCCCACACCTGGTCGCTCGGTCTGCTCGGTGAGGGAGAAGTTCAGGCCTCGGTTCGCTCCTTTGACAACCAAAAACGACGCGTGAAGGTTGAAGCGAAGCACAGCACACAGGAGCGTCTGACAGAGACTGTGATTCCTTTCCCCACATAGACGGTCACCGCACCGGAAGTGTGCTACTTTGTGCAAATACATTATATACATCATATGTATTGCATGTATAACCATATACGTATATACATATGTATTAATATATATATATATACATATATATATATATGTGCCGCTATATGGAAGTACATGTGAATACATATATATATATGTATATATACGCATGTACATGTGTGTTGCTATTCTACACCGCATATGTGCATACGTCTACACTTGTGAGATATTGTCAACTGTTCAAATGAGCGAGACTGTGATCCTCAAACAAAGACATGCACCTCAGTTTGCTTACACGCACCAGTGCCGGGATGAATAAACGGCCAAGCAATGAACAAACCTCTCCAAGTCCACTCCAGAGGTCTATATGAGTTGTAAATTGATCAAGCTACCCAGGATGCGCCACAATCCACCATT